TTTCCTTGGTTATGGCCTCTGTTTCCTGCCCCTAGGTCCCAGCCTCCCCTGTGAGGGCTAAGGGCAACCTAGGGGAGGAATCAAACAGGTGCCCAAATGTCACGAGGCCTCACCTCAAGGAAGGCAGAAGACAATGGGACTTGGCCTTGTCTCCTCCTTTGTCTTGATTCTAAAGATTAGAAGGTGCATTGTCCTAAACACAAGCCAAGGGTTCTCTTGAAGATGGAATTCCAAGCCTCTCTGTGCTCTAAGAATGTCTCTGTAACTCCCCCGGCGGGCTCCCTCCTCCAAGGGCTAAGTCGGTGAACTATTTAGGCATTGGTACCGCCTGATTACTGCCTGTTATCATCGCTGTACATTGACAAGTAATAAACCTAGGGGTGAGATTGCAGAAAACTTTCTAGTCTCTCTCAAGTGGCCGGCAACCATTACCCCCAAAAGGTTTACTGTGAATGGGAGGCAACTGGAATGACCCTGTTTCAATGACTAATGTCACATCCGTGCTCCAAGCATATGGAGAGTAGTATTTGATTTCATTTAAAAGGAGGTAAACATACTTCTCTTAACCCAGACTTCTGGGAGCCAAGCTGGAGGCTTCACCATCTTAAGGTCAGATCATGATGATAACATAAAATATTCAACTCCTCTTAAACATCACAAACTGCCCAAGTGCAGTCCTGAGCCGAGACCACGCAGCTTTGTCCCTTCCAACGCACAGATGCCGGTGAGGCAGCCCGGGGACACAATCCACAGCACAGCGCTGCAGAGTCACAAGACAGTCGTCAAATGGTTGTTTTGCAAAAGATGAATTTTGGTTACTTTTCTTATTCTGCAATCATGAACTTGGTCTCGATGGGGAAGGCTCAGTGACAGAACACATGAGCTATCAACGGGAAAGCCAACAGCACATCCACATGTACCATGGCTGCCTGCATGGGGGATGCAAGCAGAACTTCCTCTAAGAAATGTGACCCGGTGGCCCTGTGACTGTGGGGGACTCATGTCCAAAGACAGATGCCTTCTGAGACATTACTGTGTTACAGACACCTGATTTACCTGGGTGATGACAATGTAAACATCGAGGATAAAACAAACTACTCCAACTTTACACAAATTGTTAGAAGTGGTAGTTAACATGTCTGAACCACCATCTGCCAAAACAAAAACGGATTCAAAGTCCCTGGGCAGCAGCCACTGGCTGACCTTGCAGAGGACTCAGAGCCAACAGCTCGCTTGAAACCACATCAACTACCTTCTCCCTTGCAAAGATGGCTAAAGCAGAGATGCTGGAAAAGCTGCTTGAGCAGAATCTGGAATAGCCTCACAGCATCATCCTTCAAGGCCATCTGTTTATGGAACTATTGATAAGTGTCCAAGTGGTGTCACTGTCCCCCTCAGGAGCTAAAAAAGAGCGAGCAGCCAAAAAGACACAGCAGTAAGTGGAGAGCAGCAACCACCTTGAAGCTAAGTCCCTGGGGGCAGCCTGGCAGTAAGCTGCCTGGGACTTGTGCAAAGACCCTCAGTAGCAGTGCTGCTGGAGACTATGCGTACCCACTGTAGACACACAGCATGACCCACATACACTGTTCACAGGGGCAGACAGCCACAGACAAGCAAGGGCAAGTGCCACCATCATAACCCTGGAACCTCCCACGCAGAGCCACTGGTCAGCACACGTGTTCAGGAAGCTCTGCTTGAAAGCCAAGCATGGATGGAGAGTAGCTTGGCTGGGCGGTAGAGAGGCAGAGGGTGGAGCTCCTGGCCTCACTCCTTTGTTGTACATGAGTCCCGCTGTCTCTGGCACTTACAGCTCTGCTCCCCAAACTGCCGCACACTTCCTTGCCATGTTTTGCCCTGGTGACAGGCAAGTGATGAATGGTATTCATGTCTTTACCCAGGTGCATGATGGTCCCTGGTGGGCCTCTTCCTGCTTTCCACCCAGAAGTGTCAGTTCCCTAGGAGCACACGATGGAAGAAGGGGGGCAGCAGAGGCAAAGGAATCCTGCCACCAGGAACATTCTAGCAGGAGAGTTCCCTTATACCCAGTCTGTGGCCATGCTGTCTGCAGGACAGCCAGCTGGTTTGTAGGTAGCCCAGAGATTGGGGTGGTGGGGGGGACAGAGACCACCCAGTCTACTTTTCCAAGTAGTGGGCCTTCTTTCTGGAGATCTCAAAGAGAGATTACTCCCCCACAAGTCCATGTCCATTAATGGGAGAGTAAGACCCAAATACACCAACTGGTTCTTCAGTGGGCCCAACAGAGAGTTCTTAGACCATGAGAAATAGGATTTTTGAGGAAGAGGAGGAAGGCTTTCTGGGGCCTCTGAATTAGAAAGGTACTTCAGAGTGGGCATGGAAATGAAGTTATAAGGCATATTTTAGGTAAAAATATTCTGAGCTCCATACATTTAAGTTTTCAGAAATTTTACAGGAAATGTATACTCTGAAAACTGCACATGGATTTCTGAGAACGTCTGACCCAAGATAAACCTCTGTTGCGAGTGTTTTCCACGGGCTTTCGGAAGCGCCTGCTGTCTGTGGAGCCAGAGGGATTATGTGTGAACTCTTGTGCCTTGGTGCTGCTGAAGAAAGCACCACACATGTACAAGTACTGCTAGGAGGGAGGGGAGACCGGGCAAAACGAGACACTTGCAAATTAAACCAATTTGAATATCCTATTTCGTTTCATCTCATCCAACTGAAAAAAAAGAGTTGAAAGGGTCTTGGAAAATAATAATTGGGTGACGTTGCTGAAACCCAAATCAGGGAGAACATCTTTTCTCAATTATAAAAATAATTGGCATGCATTTTGGGTGGAGTGAGGGGAGATATGAAAGTGAAATTTTAATTTTCATAAGCAATCAACATTTCAAGTGATGCCTCCGTGTCTGAAGTTGCGGTACCAAAGTGACCACAGCTCACTAATGAACGGGCCCCCATGCAGGCTCCACCACGCCCTGAAGGGAAGTGCAGCTGAGTAGCTATAGGCGCCGCATCTGAAGGCAAGCGCAGAGGGCAAGCACTTCTCCTTCTTTTCCTAATCCACAGCCTGTTTCTAGTGGTGAGCACAGGAACACCCAGGCTCTGTGAGGCTTCCAAGACACACAAGAGCCCGTCGCACTGGGTGGCAGAGCCCCCAACCCCACAGCTGAGTCACGGGGAGGAGAGGGCGCATTCATTCAGACCAAGGGAAAAGCTGGTACGTTGGAAAGAGCGATTAACTCGTCTGGCCCTGGAGGACGATTATTTGAAAGGCAGAGTGGCACAGGCAGATGGAGGGACAAAGAAAGCCCCCACACTGGTTCACTCGTGAAATGGTTGCAGTCGCAGTCAGGGCTGTGCCAAGGCAACGTGAGCAGGGAGCTGGCTCAGGAGCGGAGCAGCCTGACCGTGACCGACACCCAGCTGTGGAATGTCAGAGTCACCGGGGACAGGTTAACTCACTGCACTCCAATGCGAGCCCCAAGAACACCTATAAACGGCCCCTTTTCCAGAGGCATTCTGCTTCCTTTCCAGGAATCCTAACACTAGCCCCCAGGATCTGACCTCCTAGAACAGGATGAAATTAATCTTCAAATGCAATTACGAGCTACGTCACACACTTCTCACTGAACCCCAGCAGAGCAGCATAGCGGTGACGATCCCCACTTGGCAGAGTTTGACTAGGTCCGTGCAGAGTCACGGCAGCACCGGAAATGCGCTGTGAATCTCCCACTCAGGCTAGGTTCCCTGGGTACTTAAACAGACAAAGGAAATCCAGAGCCTGACAGTGCCGGTAAACCACGGGCTGGGTCAGACCGTCCAGGACTGAATTTAAGACCTCTTTACTGTGGGACCAGCAGTCCCACCTCACTCTGTGTCTCACTGGGTGGCCTTGGGAGCCACAGGTGACACAGTGAAGGAGGGGCGTTCCCGCTGGTCCAGTGAATGGAGCTCCTGCTCTCTGCACCTGCCTGTTCTCAGCAGAATGGGACTCACCCTATTCTCGAACTGCAGTCGTGGCCACTCAGAGCTCTCCCTGCCCAGCCCAGTGCTGCAGCCTTGGACACAGCACCCCACACAGACCAAGCACGCCCTGGCTTCATGCTGAAGCTGCCAAGTAAGAGGTGCGCATCACTGCAGATGCCATCAAAGGGACAATCTCCCAACTGCCTCCCAGGCCACCACACGGAGACTGCCGTCAACAAAGGAGAATGGCAAGATAGATTGCCAGTGTCATCCGAGTGTCCGGATGCAGGCTGCTCATTGCAGGAACGCTGGACACTCCAGGTAAGCCCACCAGTAACATCCACCCCGAGGGCCACTTGCACGGCCCTTCATCACCACCAGCCAAGAGCACTGACAAACCCAAGCCTGGAGTGGGTTGATTGCTAGATACCCCTAAACCAAAATGTGAACTTCCCAATGCTCCAAAATGCATGGGGTGCCACAAGGGGAAAATTCCACACCTAACTATGTGCCAGCCAAAATGCAGGGACACTAAAAATGTTGTGTGAAATTATCTTTGGGCTGTACATGAAGCATAAGTAAATTTCTTGTCTAGACTTCGGTCCAAGGAATCTTGTTAAATTTATGCAAATACATACAGCAAAATCTGAAGACTTCTAAAAAAGCCACAACCTTTTATGTCCCAAGCATTTTGGGAAAAGAATATTCTCTCTAACCCTCCCAAGTCCCACCTGCAACAGTCCAGGCATAATGCAACTAGAAACACAACTGAAACACGTGAGCAGCACTCAATCTGGTACACAGGCTGCCATGGTTCCTGTGGGCAGCATCCTGGCGCACCAGGCATCTTAGTGCACCGAGCGTCCTAGGACGCCGGGCGTCCTGGCGCACCGAGCCTCTGCCCCGGAGGCCCCAGGATCCCAGCTAGGCAGTTGGAGGCTGTGCCAAGCACCCAGAGGCCCGGTGTTGCCCGGCACAAGCTGTTGGACATCTGAAGGCACTGGGGGCCTTCTGCTCTCATCCAGGCTGACCAGCTCCCCGCCCATACCCACCTGACGCGCTGGAGACCCGAGACACGTCCTGGGCCTGGGTAGAGCGATTGCGACTCTGCTGCCGGCGCCGGCTGGTTGCTGACCTGGTGGTGCGCACGTGGACCTCGCTCACTCTGAAGAAAGCCACCATGAAGGGCTGCTTGTCGTAGGGGCCGTCCCTGCCCACCAGGCCTGCAGCTCGGGGGCTGACGTGCAGGCCTGCCAGGCAAAGGCAAATCTTCCATTTAATCCCTTACTGGCTCCCGTATAAAGGACACAATCCAGCTTCCTGAGAGAGGGACAGGGGGCCGGGGTCGGGGGAGAAGCCACTGCGCAAAGTTCTCCCAGTAAGTTAAGTAACTGCAGGTGCAGCATGCAATGCGAAGCACCTGGGGGGAGGGGAGTGTGTGTAATCAACAGCTGGCATTTCGTGGTGCTGAGCACCAAGGCTGCGGAAAACGAGGGGACAGGAAATACACCCTGGGCCCACCCACCCGGCAGCCAGCATTCCACCTGCCTCTGCCTAGGAGAACTGGCTGCCCCTTGCCACTCTGGGACCTCGCTAGCTCTCCTGAGTGATGCTGCCCATGCCAGTCCCCGCCTTCTTTGTACTAGAGTTGGAGGAAAGGGTTTGATTTTCAACAGCATGCAGTGGGGAAAGGTCAGTGGACTGCCTGGGGCTGAGGCCTGGGCTATAAGACATCACTCCACCACAAACGGATAGACACGACCACTCGCTCCATGTGGGAGGCCTGACGGGTCAGCACGTACCGTCCTGTGTAACCACGCTCAGCCGAAGGCCCAGGTTATGCTGCGGGGTCACCAGCCATAGATTGCTGGTAGCCGTGATGTCAAATTCCAGCCAGCCTTCCTCCGAGGCCCACACGACACGGGTGTCCAACAGAAACAGGTCAGAGTCTCTGGGGGAAAAAAAAAGTGATGGACTGTGATTCGTACGCTGGCCCCGGCTCAGTCTCACCCGTCCTGTCCTGGCATCAGTGAGGGGTGACAGGAAGGACCAGCAGCAGCTGTGAGGTGCCACGACACTGAGGGCAGTACCCCACCCAGGATGCAGGCACAGTGCAGTCACAAGACACGAGCCGCTGCCTGAACACAACAGGATTTCTCAGTTTCACGAAAGCATTGCTACCCCTGCTCACCGTAAGTCCTTTCTGGAACAGCAGTAAACTACGGATCACAGGACTACTGCTTCCCTTTAGTGTTTACTTACGATGTCATAGTTATTGCTCACAGCCTCCTCTCTGGCTAATGAAGAAAGAGCGAAAGCCAGTGCCGAGCCAGAGAGGAATGAGGTCAAACCCAGCGCCCACACGAGCACTGAGAAACTGCTAGTGACTTTAGGAGGCTTTCTCGTTTTACTTGAAAGTCAGAATTACAGAGGAAGACAGATGGAGAGCTTCCATCCACTACTGCCCTTTTCAGCTGGCAGCCACTGTCAGAACTAGGCTGCTCCAAAGCCAGGAGCTTCTTCTGGCTCTCCCACATGGTTACGGGGCTCAAGGACTTGAGCCATCCTCTACTGCTTTTTCAGGCCATTAGCAGGGGACCTGATTGGAAGTAGAGCAGCTGGGCTATGAACTGGTGTACCCATATGCAATGCTGGCACCATAGGCGACAGCTTAGCCACCCAAGGGCCCCCTCTGCTCATTAGTCTTTAAGTAGGACCCATCAGTGCCTGATGCTACAGAACATTTGTCATCTACGGTCTTCTCCGAATGAAGACCCCTGGGAGTTTCCCCACATGGTGTGGTGGTGTGAACACTGTGGGAAAACGGCTCGTAGATTTTGGATGCTGTTGCCATAAAAATAAAATAAAATAAACTTCTGCTTTAATTTCACTTTTCCCTGAGCTCTGTGTGGTCCCTTGTATGTTGAGTGATTGGAAGCTCATCCCAGCACAGCTGGGAACCGTGGCTGGGGTTCTTCCAGGCAGTCTCACAGGACCCATTGCTGTCACGGGGCTCTAGAGGGGGGTGTTGTGCATTTTCAGTCTTCAGTGAACAATGAAAGTTGCTGTGAGAGCCTGCCTGCTCTCATGCCATAGAGATCAGATGGGGGACTGTCGCCTTCACCTGAGCTGGAGTCCACATCCGAAGGCCCCTAGCAGGAAGCAGCCTGGGATTCGGGCCCCATGCAGAGGCGTATCTTAACCCTGGAGAGCTTCAGATCCACTGGCACTGCAAATATCTAGCCATCACAATACTGGAAATAAGAAATAGTTCCCTGATCGAGCACTGCATTCAAAATGAGCTTCACAATGACACTAATGTCCATTTTAACAAGTTACACAGTATTCTCTTTGCTCATTTGCCTTGGTTTTCTAGCAAAAGTCCTAACAAGTAGGTAGAATAGCATGGCCTCTGTTTTGCAGCTGGAGAAACTGCCTGTGGCCAAGGGTACAATCTAGTACTAGCTGACATACCTTACCTGAAATACTTGGTCTTAGAAGCATTCTGCATTTTCTTCTCAGATTTTAAAACATTTGCATGAGACAAGGTGGGGCTGGGACCCAAGTCTAACCATGAAATTAATTTATGTTTCCTGTGCTCCCAATACAAATAAACCTAGAAGTTATTTCACACCACACTTTGACTATAATCTTACACGAGGCCAGGCAACATTTACTAGTTTGGTAAGAGTTGGCAGCTGACAGTTTTGGGTTTTGTAGCATTTTGCATTTTGGGATCAAGGATTCTCAAGTTGTAAATGCAAGAGCCAGGACTTAGTTTTCACTCAAAAGTTATCCAGGACTTAACAGTTGGCACAGCAGCTAAGAAACCCTTTGGGGAGCCCCATGCCCATCCCAGAGGACCTGGGAGCCCCAGCTGCCTGCTCACGTCCTCGCATGCAGCTCGCCGTGTGTCCAGAAGAGGCTCCTGGCTGCGGCCTGGCTCAGCCCTGGCTGAAGCAGCCAGGCGGGTAGCACACCACTGAATGGGGACATCTTTCTGGTTTGGGTATTCCAAGTTGTCCCTCCTGACATCCTAACTTTATCAACAAAGATAAGCTATGATGCAGGAAATTCCTGGCTATTCCATCAAATAGTTACAAGGCCAGTGAAACCTCCAAGTTAAAATTTTTGGATTTCTCTGAGGGGAAACACACACTTTCTCCTGCTTCCACAGATGCAGGAATTCTGTGTCATCTTCAAGCACAAACAGGAGGAACAACCCAGAGGAGTTTACTCAGCTGCTTCACAGAGCCTATGGGGGCCACTCTGGGCCCACCCCACTTCAAGTTCTCTCCCACACAGATGTGTCACACCGCCTGTGAACAAATTACCCCCCAGGACCAAAGCAACAGCCAAGGGCAGTGAGACAGGGGTGCAAGTGGAAAACAGCCCGAGGGCCTTGCAAGTCGGAGGCTTTGAAGTTCCGAAGTGTCAGGATGTCAGCTCTCTTTTGCAAGGCCACAGGAGACCCTTGTCCAGAAACAACACAGTCCCTGTCAACTATGGGGAGAGCAGCTGGCCTGCAGGGAGCTCAGGACACCTGTGTTTCAGAAGGGAGGAAGTCTGACCGGCCCGCTCTAGAATCTAGGCTTGGGGAGCCTCGGGCAGCATGGGCACCCCTGAGGCCAACAGGAGGAACCCAGGGAGCCTTCTGTATGCATCAGTGTTGCAATTTACAGAGCCTTGGCACTACAGCAGGCTCAGTGTTTATGGGGTGAAGTGGGAGGTGGGGCATGGTTGGTTAAAAAAAAAAGCTAGAAAGAGTTTTTACTTTCTTAAAAAAAATACTTAATTTGTGTATTTATTTGAAAGGCAGAGTAAGAGGAGTGGGAGGGCGGGCGGGCAGAGAAACAACTTCCATCTGCTGGTGACAGTGGAGGCAGGGTGGGGCAGGCCAGAGCTCGGAGTGCCGAGCTCCGTGACCGTCCCTCGTCCCTCGTGTGGCAGGGACTCCAGCACCTGGCATCTGCTGCTGCTTCTCCAAGTCGTTAGCAGGGAACAAGGGCAGAAGCAGAGCCAGCCAGGACTCCAACCGGTGCTCTCACAGCAGACGCTGGCACCACATGCAATGGCTTACCTTGCGGTGCCACCTCTTTGGCCCCAAGCTCTCCTTTTAAAAGAGGTGGGTTTGTGATTAAGGAAATGAGAACACAGGGGATGGGACAGAAGTCCATCACGCAGAAGGGAGAAGTAAGCTAGGGGGACAAGGGCAGGAGTGAAAGAGGACACAAATCTCAAACGTGGGACAAAAGTGGAATAGTGTGAGGAGTAGTCACCATGACGGGGAGCAAACTCCACGTGTAGGGCTGGTGGTGATCCGTGCCTGGGCAGCCAGGATTCCGTCGTGACTCTGCCGTGGAGTCCCCAGGGGACCCGCAGGAAGCCATCCTGCTCCCGCAGCACAACTTTCTGAAAGGGGGTGGATACAGCTTGTCTGGAGGCCACACTTTGTGCAGAACCAAACCAAAAGCACACAAGCTTGCCAGGGCACGCTATGGCCTCACCCTGGGCTGGCTCATGGACTCCCAGCTGGAAGCATCTGCTCTCAGACCGCCCTTTCTCCCCTCCCTAGCACGGTACAAACCAAACGCAGACAGCTCGACACTTCAACCTGTGTCTTGGAGAGCGGCGTCACCCTCAGCGGCTGATCTCTCGAGGCTGGCCACCAGAATCACAGCTGAGAGAAGCAGGAAGGAGTGGTGGCTTCAGAGGGCGAGAGGGGCAAGGGGGACCCTGTACAAGCACATGGCTGCCTAGACAGCTTCTTCCAGACGCTTGCGCACAAAGTCCCTCCAGCAACACCGGATCGGCGGGCTCTGCGCTTGGAAGCGTTATGCGTAAGTCTCGCATGTCTTAGCTCTTATCACCAGCCCTGCATTACACAGCTGTGCCCGAGTTGGAGAAATAAACAATGAAAACACCGCTCTGCGATGTAAAGAGGAAAAACGCCTTCCAAAAATAATTTTAACCACTAAACACAGTTTTACAAAGTGATCTTAAATCAGGCAGAGATGCAGGCAACTGAAGCCATCTGTGTCTAGAGATAAATAATCCCTATGATTTCCAGAAAGTAAAAAACTTACTTTCTGTTCAAAGCTTATTAAGTGGATAAATGGTTGCCCACCACTCCAACTCCTCCCTGCTATCAAATATCTGAACATCCTAATACATACAGCCATCTTGTTTAAAAATAGATCTCATTTAAATGTGTGTGTGTGTGTGTGTGTGTGTGTGTATGTGAGAGAGAGAGAGAGAAAGAGAGAAAGAGAGAAAGAAAATATCCTCCATTTGCTGGTTCATTTCACAAATGGCTACAACTGGGCCAGACCAAAACCAGGAGACTGAAACTCCATCTGACTTTCCCATGTGACTGGCAAGGAACTAAGGACCTGGGCCATTACCTGTTACCTTCCCAAGTGCATTCATTGGAAGGAACTGGATCAGAAGTGGAACTGCCAGGACTCAGACGTACTCATGTGGGATGCCAGTGTTGCCAAGAGTAGTTTAATTCGACGCACCACAAAGCTGGCCCCTATGAGTTCATACAAGTTTTTATGGTCCTAAATTCTAAATGACACATTCTCATCTACACTTCCTTAAAATGAACACAGACAGGGTCAGGCGTTAGTTAAGTGTCCCTCGGGCCATCTGCTTCCATGGCAGAGTGCTTGGTTGGTGCATCCTGGCTTTTCTGCTTCCAACCCAGACTTCTACTGCTACCTGCACACCAGGAGGCTTCAGATGATGCTCTTGGGTCCATGTCAGCCACATGGGTGATGGCTCACCCTTGGGTCCACGTCACCCACATGGGAGTCCCACAACCCCTGGTTGTTCTGGGCCAAGCCAGAATCAAGACTCTGTCTCTATCTGCCTTTCAAAGAAAATGAAACTAAATACAAACTTTTGCTTTTAAAAAGAACATAGAAAGTATAGCGAATGGGGCTTGGG